GGCCATCAAATATATATTGTATTACCATGTACTGTATAAAATACTTTCTAATGATGTTATAACTATCATTATATATGTTGTTTGTTGTTGTGGTTTCTCGGTTTTGTCTTGTCTTTCTTTCCGCAGGTCTAGAGGCAGACTTCAATGATGTTGATTTGTGTTCTCTTTATCTCTCCCTCTCCTCTATTCCTATTTCCTTCTTTACCTTTTAACCCTTCTCTCACTTTTCTTCTTTGTTTTTCGTCCCCGTGTCCATTACATCTGAAACAAGCCCATAGCAAATTCTAACAAAGTTTAATTTATATATCAAGTGGAGCATTAAGGCCAGCCATAATGCTCTGCTTGTGAAAGTAAATCTGTTGGGCATCACTTTGACACTCAGACAATAATTCTAAGTGTCACAATGCCGGACAGGACAAGGGAAAAAAAACAAAACAAAAAAAACCATTTACTTTAATTTGAAAAGAGGACATTGGACCACTGAGAGACAGTCCAGTTCTTTGTCTCCTCAGCAGGTAAGACACTTCTGATGTTGTCTCTGGCTCAGGAGTGATTTGACTTGAGGAATGAGACATTTGTATCTCATGTCTAGGAGTTAATCAGCTGATCAGGATGCGACACCAGGAGTTTATAGTACTGAACCTCTTCACAATATTCAAATTTTCTGAGACACAGAAGTTTTATTTTTTTATTTTTTGCAAGTTATAATCATCAAAATTACAAAAAATAATGGCTTGAAATATTGACCAAAAAAATTGAACTTTTTCACAATATTCAGATTTTTTTAGATGCACCTGTACACTTAAGGACCAAGGTGACGAATATAAATCTCAGCTTCTTTGAGCTTTTTCACTTTGGTTTTATAAGTCATGTATAAACGTTGTTATGGCGTGCTTTTTAAGGATGTGATAAGTTTTGTTTGAGTATGTGTCTATCCTCCTCAGATGGACATAAATGAAATGACTCACCCGTGGGGGCTTGAAGTTGATAGGGTAGAGCTTACCCTCGGTTCTCTAATAAAAGCCCCAGAAGACAGCCATGCTTCCCCTCTGGTCATGCCTCCATCTGTACCTGGACTCGAAGGCCTCACTGGCTCCATTCAGCAGCTGGCCATGCACTTTCTGAGTCCCGGAGGCAGTTCACAGCCTCACCAGGGTAAGAATAAATGCTCACACCTTTTTCCAGATATAGCTTTGCCAATGTGCAGCTGTACTTATGTGTACCCTCTTCTTTTTAGAAGACAGCATAACATTTACAGACGAGCTCAGCAGTGACTCCAAGTCGGTCACCACCACACCAGGTTCTGTGGAGGAGCTGCTGAGCGGTGTTCAGACGCTACTCTCTGAGGCTTTGGTCCATCAGGTCGGGACTTGTTACCAGTTTGAAATCAGCTCAGCAGACGGACAACAGCACAAATACTATCTGGATTTAAGTCAAGGTGATGGCAGCTAAACCTGTCTGATAATGTAGCTCTTATACCAAAATAATTTAAAGAACACATGTTAAACAACAACAAAAAAAACACAACTAAAAGTAACTAGTAATTAAAATTAACATTGAATGGAATCACATTAAAACACACAACAAGAATATTTAGAGAAATTATCATTTATTCACAACAGGATGTAAAAAATGATGCCATCATGTCGGGGTCTATTAGTAAAGAAACAATCTTTTTGCTGCACCTGTAAAGTTTCAAGGGTCTGATGGAGTAGTTTTATAAAGATAAAAAGTTGTTCCAGATGTTTTAAGTAATATCAGACCTGATCTTTGGATGCATGCTGCGTGATCCAACTCCCAAGTGTTTTAAATCAGGGGGTCTCAAAATTTTTGGGTTCAGGGACCCCTTACAGGGGAGAAAAAGTTTCAGGGACCCCCTCATAACCTTCATGTTTATCAAATAATTTTCTTCCATTTGTCTTTTTAATGCAATGGAAGCATTTGTGTAACATAAATACTTAAGACTTGTTTTTTAATAGTGTTAATACAATTTTATACTTTTAAACATGGAGTGCATTTCATTCAAGACACAACATTTTTTTTATTTCAACTTCAAATAATTGCAGTTTTGAGAAAATTAACAGCATCAAAAATCAATTTAAAACTACCTATTCACATAATGAACATAATAAATGTATCGCAACTTCTTCAAATGATTACAGAAAACTTTACACAAAACTGAACAGAATCAGAACAGCAGTAGTCGTAACAAGTAACGGAGCTTAATTTGTAAATTTGTAAACTGATCAATGCCAGAACACAAAGAGCCGGGGGGGGGGGGGGGGGGGGATATGTCCGGGGGTCCTCCCCCAGAAAATTTTGAATAAAGAAAATGTGATTTCCTGTATTTTGGTGTGTGTTTACAGGTTCTTATACATCTGTGTATGCTACTTGTAAGTAAATATATATATATATATTTGCGGACCCCCAAGCACCGGCTTGCGGACCCCCAGGGGTCCGGGGATCCCAGTTTGAGAACGACTGGTTTAAGGAACCATCTATAAGACCTCCTCTGCACTCTGCATCCTGTTAACCCATGAAACTCGAGTCACAGAACATGGCCGCAACTAGACTGTCCATTCACAAATGCATCAACCCCAAATTTTCAGACTTCAGTGTTCACTATTAGCAGTATATATATATATATATATATATATATTTATATTTATATTTAATGAAAATATTTTTAGTCTCTGTTATGTAGCAGCCACAATATGAGAGAAGTAAAGGAGCTACAGGTCTGTGTTGTTTTAATCTAAAGTCAGAATATATTTAACGAACATCTGTGCATTTACGTTGGTATTTAAAAAGTTTATTTCCGTTCATTTTAGCATGGGGCTGCACTAAGTCTGTAATTTTTAATGTGTGTGTTGTGCAGGTAGGGGTGCGGTTGGCTCAGGGTCCTTGTGTCGAGATCCAGATGTGACTCTGAGCATGAGTGACGGCGACCTCGTGGCCATGTTCCAGGGGGAGCTAACGCCGTTTTCTGCTTACACGAGCGGCAGACTGAAAGTCCAGGGGGACATGAAGGCAGCCATGAAGCTGGAGGAACTCATAAAACAGCTCAAACAGCAACATCCATAACAAACACGAGTAGTTATTTAACTGTTTTTAAATTGATTTAATTCATTTTAACTGTAAATTATGATTTCTTAATATGTATATTCTGATTAAATTTTGAAAATTCTGGATTTGTGTAGTCTTTTTGTTTTAGTTTGTGCAAAGCATGAATTCTCATAGATATTCACACACTGAGACCAGATCATATCAGTTTGAGCCCTGCAGTGTTACCCTCAGACACTGCGCTGTCGTGTATTTTCTTGTTTATTTCAACAGAAGGGCCTTGATCGCTGCAAGAGGGGGGCCCACTAGACCAGCCTTCTTTTCAGGAGGAAACACACGGAGTCAGAGCAGCAGTTGAGGAAACACCAGAGTGAGCATTTTTATTTTCGTTTTGGAGTCGCCATGGTCAGGCTGAGTCTGTGTCGGAGCCCTGCGTCGCTGCTCCTGTCCTGGATAGAGGAGCCGATGGCTTCAGGTGTGCGCTTCAGCAGCAGCATGCCGGTGATCCAACACTCGCACTCTGAGAGCAGCAGCACCGTCAGGCCCTACAGTGAGATTCCTGGACTGTGGAAGCATGGTCTGCTCAACCTGTACCGCTTCTGGAAACTGGAAGGCTTCAGCAACCTGCACCGCGTCATGCTGCAGAACTTCAACACCTTTGGACCCATTTACAGGTAAGAAGGTTAGTATGCTTATAAGACGAGTCGTGATGTCGGTAAAAGAAAAACAACTGTGACGAGATGTTTTTTCTTTTTCTTGCTCTTGTCAGAGAGAAAGTAGGTAATTATGAAAGTGTTAATATCATCAAACCAGAAGATGCTGCGATCCTGTTCAAAGCAGAGGGCCATTATCCTAAAAGACTGACAGTTAAACCATGGACAGCGTACAGAGACTACAGAAACCGCAAATATGGAGTCTTGTTAAAGTAAGTGCTTCTGGTTTCACTGACGAACAATGGGTTGTTTTCAAAGCGTCAAACCGGCTCGTCTTCACACCACAGGGACGGCGAAGACTGGAGATCCAACCGAGTGAGTCTCAACAAGGAGTTGATCTCCGTGAAGATGCTGGAAATATTTGTGCCTCTGCTGGATGACGTGGGCCAGGACTTTGTGACCCGAGTTCACAAAAAGATCTCACAAAGCGGTCGGAACAAATGGACCACCGATCTTTCTCAGGACCTCTTCAAATATGCTCTGGAGTGTGAGAAAGTTTGGTCCTGTCTTGCTTGTTTTTATTATCCTGACTTTTTTTTTTTTTTTAATTGTCCAATTAAAACAAAACTCTTTTCTAAACAGCGGTGAACTTGGTGCTGTACGGGGAGCGTCTGGGTTTGATGCTGGGCTGCATCGACCCTGAAGCTCAGCACTTCATCGACTGCATCACGCTCATGTTCAAGACCACCACGCCCATGCTGTACATGCCTCCTGCTCTGCTGAGGAAGTTTGGAGTGAAGGTGTGGCGGGACCACGTGAAGGCTTGGGATGGGATCTTTAACCACGGTGAGACCTGCAGCTGCTGCTTATTGTCTGAGCTCATCAGAAGATTTGAGCACATTTCTTAAAGCACTTTGTGTTCTGGTGTTTCTGGCTTTTGGTGCACTAGCGGACCGCTGCATCCAGAACATCTACAGGGTGCTGCATCAGGAGACGGGCACCCCCAAGAAATATCCAGGAGTCCTGGCTACTTTGCTGTTGCTGGACAATCTGTCCATTGAGGACATCAAGGCCAGTGTCACTGAGCTGATGGCTGGAGGAGTCGACACGGTAACAACTAACAAAATCTTGGCATTTTTCCTCTCATGACTTCTTTTCATCAATTAAGGTTGTTAAAGCCGCCTTGCTTGTCTCCCAGACTTCTATAACCCTGCAGTGGACGTTGTATGAATTAGCCAGACACCCAAACCTGCAGGAGGAGCTGAGGGCCGAGGTGGCTGCAGCTCGAGCTGCGAGCCAGGGAGACCTGCTGGAGATGCTGAAGAGGATTCCTTTGGTCAAAGGAGCTCTTAAAGAAACACTGAGGTGAAAAAAATCCAGACATCACAACATAAGACTGAACTTTCTGCTGGTACAAACTGCTCTTTATGTAATGTAAAGTATTTTATACTATAGTTGCAGCACTGAGTTGTTTCAGCATTCACTCTTTGTTTTATCTCACCAACCTGTGAAATAATGCAAAGTCAGTTTTTAATCAAACTGTTATTTTTATTCCTCAGGTTGCATCCAGTTGCAGTGAGTTTGCAGAGATACATCACAGAAGATATAATTATTCAAAACTACCACATCCCATCTGGGGTAAGCAGCAGCTAAACCTACATTTAATTAACTTGGAGTTTTATAGAGAAATTAGCATTTTCTGTGAAAATACAATGTGAATCTTAAGAGGTACTATTTGCTGAAATTTGCTGAAGGAACTAAACCTGAGCAAATACTAGCTAAAATTAGAGAAAAGACTAACTAAAAGTAGCAAAAGGCAAGCTAAAATTAGAGAAAAGACTAACTAAAAGTAGCAAAAGGCAAGCT